ACACTATAAAGGATAATTCTGTGCAGGTGATGGGAGAATGAATACATCCAGACTACATGGCATTATTCATTATTGGCTGCATTCACATATGTTACTAAGCCAACATTTCCGGCTGCTGTGAACACCTCCATTGCTTCCACTTGGCTTCTCCCAAGAAGCTCCTTCTGTGGTTTGTTTAGCATGCCATCAAAAGCAGAAAGACTGCAGTGTTACTTCCTAACAAGCTTGTTAGGGGAAGAACAAGCCAGAAAATGTTAAGCAAACCTTGGAAAGTACTTCTACAGTTTGTTTAGCCACTCCCACTTATAGGAGGAGCCCCTGAGTGACAAACCCCAACTAGTTGCTTAGTCATGGTAAGTCAGAGTTCTGACAAGTTCTTGGTGTGTCTTAGATTTCATTTGATCGCAGTGTTTTGAATCAATTATCAGGGACCAGGAAAGCAGTCTAATAATTTGCAGGTAATATGTTTAAGCTGCATGGTGATGTTCCTAAGGACAAGGCAAATTAATCAAGCTCTCGTGCTGTTAGTAATTTTTTTAAAAGTAGCATTTAAATCACTTGTGCCTATTTTAAAAAAAAAACCTGGGGGAAAACATTTTCAACTGATTCAAAGCCTAGTTTACATTACTCTTTGCCTTCAAAATATGGATGGAAAATGTGTGTGTCCATTCCCAGGCAAGTCTAGTAACCTAGATACTATACCAGTCTGTTCTAGCCCAGAACCATCCAGATGTGGTTCCAGATGTTGAAACTAGAACTCCCAGAAGTTGAGACTACAACTGTCTGTCAGCAAGGCTGTTAACTGTTCTGTACTATATTATGCCAGCTTTCCTAACATGTAAATACCAGGAAGTACAAGGCAATTGACATTTAGGACAAGAATCTTTTCAACACACACACACACACACACACACACACACACACACACACACACAATAGCAAGTTTAGGGTAACTACAGATCACCACCATATCATTCCTATCAAACTTTACCATGTCAGTGTCTACACTAGACAATGCATAGAAAAAAATGGCCTTAAGTTATAGTTATCCAGATTTATTTTAATACAAGGAAAAAACATTGTGACAGGAACATTAGCAAAACACTGGGACTGTCTACCTAGGTCATTCTTTTCTGCAAATTGCAAGGGATTGGATTACCTGGCTTTGTAATCCCTTCCAGCCCCATAATTGTCCCTTCTAGCCCCATGATTCTATGATTGTACTTCCCAAGTATGATCATGGCTTTTGCGAATCGACTAACAGGGCAGTGTAAAAGGTGGATTGCAGCCTGATCCCTGTATCCTATTTTCTGGAACACAAAGCCAGCCTTAGCAAAGTGATAGCAAACAGCATGGTGCTCTGACTTTAGTCCAGAGCAGGAAGAGTTAAGGAGTGAGGATGTACCAAATGAGAAAGCACCTGCTGCCACTCTAGGAAATAACATTACAAACTGTCTTTGCAGCTCAGGAGTTGGAGTCAGACATTGATCAGCTCAGCTGCAGAGAGGTTCCTGAAAACTAACACCACTGTGGGTACACAGGAACACAATGTGGATGCCTATGAGGACAACCTGTGGAGTAAAGTGGAATGGAGTGCTCATAAGTTGCTGCTTCAGCTTGCAGAGCGAAGTTCTGTCTGAACAATCTTAATGAGAAATAGGAAATGGAGACAGGGCTATCCATCATTTTTTTCCCCAGTGGGATTGTAACACTTCTACAATTGTACCCTACAAACACCCATTCCCAATTATAATACTTTTATTCAGACACAAAATGTTGACACTTGAGTGAATAGAAATTGAAATAAGGAAGAACTACTGGAGAGTGATAAAGCAAGCCTTTTACACACAGAAATTCCCAAGTTTCACACACACAGACACACACATTTGTGTATGTGTGTGTGTGTGTGTGTGTGTGTGAGAGAGAGAGAGAGAGAGAGAAAGAGAGCTTTTCATAGAAAGCTAGGAAAATTGATATCTGAACTCTTTTTAGTTAATGTAGAGGAGCCAAGACTGAGTTAACTAGACCAATAACCAGACTCTTTATAAAACAGTTTCCTAGGCTCTTAAAGACATCTGGCTCTTTGTAAAATGAACATCTGACTCAACTATCAATTATTGATTGAAAACCATATGTTCCAACCCAAAGAAAGTTAATAGTGTTTGGTTTTTACTGAGACAATTGATTAATTTAAATTTTACTCATTTCAATTAAATTCTCTAAACTGGGCTTTACAATCCTTAGAAAGATAGTTTGGAAAGTAGCAGAAATTTTCCGCAAAGGTCTGTTTTACTGTTACTCTGAGTACCTTAAGAGAGCAAATAGCATTGCTGAAATATTTACAGGAGAAGAAAGGCATTTAATTGCACTAATTTCTTACCATCTGTCCAAATGTTGTCCAAAGTTTCTGAGGCAGGGGAGGGGGTGAGGGAGATCAGGCACTTGAAATGATAAATTAATTTTTACACTTACAGTTTTTAAAAATCAGCAAGCCTTACGTTGGATTTTTAAATCTAGGAATAAAAGTCAAACCATATAAAACTTTGCTATTCTGCTAATAGGAAGGAAGGAAGGAAGGAAGGAAGGAAGGAAGGAAGGAAGGAAGGAAGGAAGGAAGGAAGGAGTCACTAACAACAGTATCTTTCTTGTAGAGGACACTGGCTGTATTTCCACAAAACATCTCCTGAAATGCAATCCACATTTTAGCTGACTGCATGATTCAGAAAATTGGTCAAACTATGGGTAATTTATGGGATGTGAATCTAGCCGCTGATGATAAAGTCAGATTTCTATATTGCCTGCCTCTCAAAATGTAAACACATATGGACAAATATTGGTTCATTAGAATACACATGCAAATTAAAAGCATCTCTCTTCAATCTCCTCCCAAGTACTAAGTCATTTCATACAGGCACTCATTGTATTGTTGGTGAAAACTTCCTGCCCTGAAATATTTGTTTAGTACCTATCTCTTTTTCGCCTGTTCCCTTCTCATCCCAATGGAGACCTTGATTAATTATTTTTGTTGTTCATGCTCACACACCTCTTCTTTACTTCTGAAGATAAGGATGAAGGCACTTTGGGACAGATGCCATGCAAGGTTACTTCCAATGCCGATGCTGAAAAAAGTCAGATATGAACAGGGTTGATGGCTTGTGGGGGCGGGGAAAGTAGATTCGTGGAAGGAATGTAGTTTGCTTAAGGATTTATTTACTGGAATGGACAAGTCTGCAGGTCAATTTAATTTGTCTGCAGTATTTATACAAGAGGATCAGAGTAGGTGAAAGAGCCAAGCTGACAATCTGAAACCAGTTGGACCACTTCAGCTGGTAAAACTTATATTGGAATCTATATAGTTTGTTCATTTCCAAATACATGCAAAAGGTGTAAGAACAGTGTGTAAGAGAAGCACCCACTACAATAAAATGAGAAAGTGCTACAGCAGGACTTGGAGCAAATCAATGACTTTACACAAGGAGTTTGTGGAGCCACGGGCTTTTTTTATTAGACCTACCAGCTCTGTGCCCCAAAAATCCAAATCTCCAGTAAAGGGCAAGATAGATAGATAGATAGATAGATAGATAGATAGATAGATAGATAGATAGATAGATAGATAGATAGATTGATTGATTGATTGATTGATTGATTGATTTATATACTTAATGCCATCTCATGGTCAGATTATTATAGCCCAGGTTTGGTAGCCCTAATATCAGGCACTGGTTTTGGAAAATATTTGGAGTGGTGTGTGTGTTTGTGTGTGCAGGGAACGCAAGACTGGGCACAACAATGAACTAAGAGCCATGGGTTGAAGAGTTCACAGACAGCTATGAGGGTGGTATTCAGGGTTAGAGCAAGAAAGTTCTAAACATGCTCTTACCTCTAATTCATTCAACAGAATAAAATAAATAATCTCTGCCTACAGCTTCTTTCTCTTCCTGTAGAATATCATGGACCGAATAGCAGGCTTGAAATGAAGGTTTGGGATAAATATTGCAGAGAATTTCCTCTTCTAATATTTTTTATAAGGGAGGTTGCTAGATAGGAAGACGAAGGTGAGTTTAAGAATGGGTGCCAGGACATTACAGTGGCAGGGGAGGGTTACTGCTTAGGGGGGGGCGGAGGACAAGAGGACAAAGAGAACTGAGTTTAAGGGAATTTAAGGGAAGAATTAATGAAGTTATATATGTGTTTGGGGGGGTTAGAAATCAAGGTCCCCAAGTGGACCTGGATAATTGGAATGATTTCTTATCCACTTGATAAGAATAAGAGACAAGAGATCATCCCAATGCGGAGGCTGCCCTGGAACTATAGGAAAGAAAGGATTACAGACTTAATAACCCTACAAGGAAAAAGGAGGTGGTGAGTATGCAAAATACGAGGGAGCGGGACTTGCTAGGACCGAGTTGTAAAAGGCAGTTTTCCATTGGATTACTTGAGAATACACCCTGTAAGAATCCCAAAGACACACACATAAACCCAAGATATTTAGAGATCCAGATGCCCTTTTTCTCCCTGAATACCAAGCTTATATCAATGCAGGAACACATACCTACATTTCTGAGCGAGACCGAAGGTACTTTGCCCATGCTCAGAAACAACCGCACTTCCCATCACTTCACCCCTTGGTTCCCTCCGTTTCCCTCGGTTTCGCACACCAAGAAGGCAACAATACCCGGGGTGCCCAAGTTTAGTGTGGATATTCATTGGACAGAGTTGAAGAGAATTCCTCCCAGATGTGTATCCTGGCTTCTTCTCTCTACTGGATGTGTGAGACTGGCTGTCAACGAAGGTCTAAATTTAGAGCCGGGCAACTCGGAAAAGCAAAAAGGGAGGCCGGCCGTTGGTTTCCCAGCGAGTTTTCCAAGCCATCCCAACCACCCGGGAAGGGAGAGGAAGGGCAGCCCGGGCGCCCTTCGTGCCGCGCCCGAGTCACACCCAAGGAGGCTGGAGCCCTGCCCTGCTGGCGCCATTCAAGAGCAGCGGAGCCACGTACGTACCGGTACCAGGCGAGTCCCCGGCCGTAGTTCCGATCGAAGAAGTGCGGCTCGGCGCCGGCCGCCCTCACATCCGGATGCACCCGCAGAAACTCGAGCAGCGCTCGGGTGCCGCCCTTCTTCACGCCGATGATCACCGCTTGCGGCAGCCGCTTGTTGCCTTCTCCCCCCGGCTGGGCTTGCAGCAAGGGATCCCGGGGCGTGCCCGCCGCCTCTTCGCCTTGAGCCACGGGAATCGGGGCCGGATCCCGGGTGAGGACGCGCGCTGCCCCGGCTAGGCAATAGCTGGCGTAGAGAGACATGAGCACGGAGCCCAGGACCAGCAGCAGCTTCCGCAAGGCGCGGCGGGGCAGGGGCTCGGGGCCAGAGGAAGAGACGGGGGGCGTCCCTCCCCGGGCCATGCTAGGCGGCCCCCCGCGCCGGGGCCATCGCCCCCCTCCGCTCAGCCGCTTTGCGCTCGGCGGGGAGCGGACAGCCCCATGGACGGCCGATCTGGAGCCGGAGCCGCCGCCGTAAGGATGGCGAGGAGAGCTGGGGTCGTCGCCCCTTCCTCCCAGCCGGGGAGTGGGGTTCACGGGCGCCACATTCCGGCGCGCTAGCGGGAAGCCGCGGGCTTCTGCTCCGACGGCGAAAAGGGCCGGAGGGAAAGGGGAGGGGAAGGCGGCCTTTCGGGGATTAAGCGAGGGGCTGGCAGAGACGGGAGCATCGCGCTCCAGCTGCGGGGGCCCGGGAGGGTCTCGGCAGGGTCGAGTTGGCCGCCTGGATACTAAGCCGAGCTACTCGCCAGAAGCGACGCATCTCAGCGTCGTGGAAAAAACTGGCGGCCGCCTTCCAAGCGGCTCTCCCTCCCGCTCTGCTGAATTTGTAGCCAGGCGGAGGAGATCCTGGGAAGTTAAGAAGCTGCTGGATCCGGAGAAGCCGGCGGAACGCGGAACTTCAGTACCTGGGCGAGGATCTTCAGCTGACACATCTCCCCTTTTCTCCGGACCAACGAGGCGGAGATCTGGACTGCCGGGCTGATCTCTGCATTCTTGAAAGGCCAGTCCAGTCTCAGGGTGGGATGGGACCGAGCACAGGTTTGGTACTCTTGTCTCCGAGGACCGAGGCTGGCGGGACTTTCTGGATTTCGCTGGAAGGGGAGAACCCGATGGAAAGACTCAGCGGCGGTCGGTTCCAGGAAGGCAGCAGAAGCTGCCCGCTGTCCCAAAGAGGTTCCTCTGCAAAGGAGTTCGGCGGGAGGATGTCCTCACCTTGCGCGCGAACGGCTGGACAGGCGGACGGAAAGTCCTTCGCAAAGCGCTCGCCTGTCACCTTCCCGGTGGGATTCTCTCTTCCCGGCTGCTCCGGCGGCTGCCACACGTGGAGCTCTCGATTGTAGCTCAAACTTCTCCGAATGGCAAACTCTCCCCCCCCCCCACACCGCACACACACACACCCCCACCGGGCCGTTAACGACGTGCCCAGAAACCAATAAGAGCTTGAGAAAAGAGAGAGGGGCGGATCTGCCTTTCAGAGGGGATTCTGAATAGAGGCGGGGGCAGAACTAATGAGGACACGCCCCTTCGCCAGGTTCCGGAGTGTGGCTGCTTTGGCGGTTCAGAACAAGGGAGGTTTCGTTACGGTTGAATGTCACTTGCGTGAAGATCTCTGGATCTTCTTGTGCAGGCTCACAAAATAATAATAATAATAAAAAAAAAAACTTGCTCAGGTGTATTGCCCTCTGAGCATACATCTACCCACACCGCTTCCCATCTCTGCAATCGGATTCACCCTCAAAGATGGGGAGCACCTAGTATTTTAGCCCGTTAATGCTGGGTGCTCCACATCTCTGACGGGGAATCCGATTTCAGAGATGAGAAGCGGTGTGGGTGACGACTTGGGATAAAACTGGTTCTGAGTCTGATGCTCCGGCAAACTGTTTAGAAGAGGCAGCGGAGCAAGCAAAGCCTGGTTGGGGGTGGGGGGGGAGAGCTGCCTAGTTAGTGGACTCATGTGAGTGGAACCGTCTTTGAGGTTGACTAAATGCAATGAGGAGGAAAGAGATTTTTTTTTTTTACTTCTGGTGGTTGCTGAGAAGAGAATTCTTCACTCCCAGCTTGCTAGACAGGAGTGCAATCTGTTAAAATTACCCTGAACTACACACATCTAGTAAAGGTCCTTCTTTAAAGTTGGCCACTTGTGGGGACATATGGAGAATGAAGGGAAATTTAAATCTGCTGTCTTTAAATAAAGACAAATAAAACCAGTGAGAAATGAACACAACAAACCCGAATATTTAAACAAAGTGTAGAGCACAGTTCCACAGCAAAGTAACCACAAATAGTTAGAATCAAAGCAGTGCCCACAATCTATAGAAAGAACCTGTAAAAAAAAAAACCACCTTGTTTTTCCAGGTTAGGATTATACTTCCAAGCAGGGGTCCTGTCTCTTTAACATTTTGTGTGGTAGCAGATGCTGGTAAGTCAATAGGAAAAGCTTTTTGAATCTTGGCTAAAGGCCTATCGTAGAACAGCCCAGCCAGAAAGACAAAATAGCAACGGGCACTTCAACAGAGTTTGCACTGCAGATGGAAGCAGATGCTTGTGTAAACAGTGACACAAAACATCTCACACATTTTCCACTGAAGTGGTGTTGTTCTTCAAGCTGAAAATAAAATTTCGCAAGTAAAATGTAGTAGAATCACTTTGTTGAGGTTAAAAAAAAACCTTAAGTGCATCTATACATATTCATAGATTTACATTTTGCTTCACCTTCTGGAGTGTTTTTTCCAATGTAATCTTCTCTCAATCATATATTCATATATATAAAATCATGATATTTTCACAAAGCAGTTCATTGTAGATTCCCTGCACATACCAGGATTTCATTCTTAATCCCTGCAATAGAGTAGCATTTATTAGAGCTGACACCATTTTCTTAATCTTTTCTCCAAGAATCTTTTGCATAAATTGGTCAGATCCAAAAGAATTATAGGATTATATCTGTAAAAACCTGTAAAAACACAGACAAATCATTGCACCTATAAGGCAGTTCCCATACCAGTACATGCTTGCTCATACACTCAGTCTTTAGATTTTTCTCATTGTTCAACTATTCTTCTTGGAGACTGAATGATCTATTACATTTAACTGCATTTTAGATTCAGACTAAGTGTATCAAAGCCTACAGGAAGGTCACTTGAAATGGTTCTAATAATTTCTGGAATTGTAGACAAATGATGTTTATGAAATTTGTTACTTAGATTCTCTCATGTTTACTTGCAATTTAAATTTAGCTGTGAAGTAGGCTTTTTATCAGCTTAAAAAATATCAAAGAATAACATACCTTCTACTCCTTTATTAAACAAGTCAAAAGGAGGCCCTCTCAAGGTCCAGAAGATGTTAATAGGAGACTTAAGCATGTGCCTATTAGTCAAGATTGTAGAGGAGGCCTATCTCCTTAGAAGAACATTTCATTGTTATCAGTTCCAGATGCAAAGATCCAGAAGAAACCCCAGATTATATTTTTCTCCAATGAAGTGCACTATTCCATCCAAAATTCTGCATTCAGCTTCAGTTTCTCAACATTTGAGGGGCTGCCACAAAGAAGAGGGGGTCAAACTATTCTCCAAAGCACCAGAGGGCAAGACAAGAAACAATGGTTGGAAAGTGACCAAAGAGAGAAGCAACCTGAAATTAAGGAAAAACTTCCTAACAGTGAGGACAATTAACCAGTGGAACAGCTTGGCTTCAGAAATCGTGGCCCTCCATCCCTGGGAATTTTTAAGCAGAGGCTATACAGTCACTTATCTGAAATGGTATAGGTTCTCCTGTTTGAGCAGGGGGCTGGACTAGAAGACCTCCAAGGTCCCTTCCAGCTCTATTCTATTCTATTCTATTCTATTCTATTCTATTCTATTCGGTTCCGGTTTTGGTTTCAGTTTCAGTTTCGCTTCCGGTTCCGGTTCCGGTTCCGGTTCTGTTTCTACACTGTAGAAAGTATCACCTCAGCTTCCAGGTGGTCTCCTTGAAAGGAGTACCAGAAAGAGAAGTGATACAGTACTCTAAACCTTTTTTTGCAATCTTCTACTCCAATGCCACTGTGGTTCACACAATTGTTAAATAGCAAGAAGGGCAAGAAAGAATTCTCTGTGACATCCTCATCTCAGCCTGAAGAACTTTTTGCTCTTAGGCCAATGAAACCAACAGAACAGCCCAAGCTCAGGTCCGTCCTTTTTCCTGAAGCTCTGCCTCTTTAGCCAAACCTGCTGTCCCCCAAAAGAAGAAGGGCCGTTCTTATTTCCATTTAGCATCTGATATCAAAGTAGAACTTTCCTCTGACCTGCACGTCTTTTAAATAGCCTCAGTTGTTGTCAAAAGAGGCTATTTGAATGCTTCATTGCTGCACAGGGAGCAATTTTTGAGAGGTTTCTTTCTCTCTTTCTTTCCTTTTACTGCTCAGAAGGGAAAGGCTAAACATCCTTTCTCTGTCGAAGTGACTCTCAGCTCTGCAATACATCAGGATCGGAAGGGGCAGAAATAGGGGCAAACCTTGCTGTATATAATGCAATAGTCAATTTATTCATTCTTTTCCCCAGAACATATTTTGTTTTTCAAGTCCTAAAGAAACAGATGCAAACAGGTTTTTAGCTTTTATTAAAGTTTTGGCTAGGGCTGAAATTGTATTTGGACATTGTCCAAAGCATCTGAAGGCAGAACAAGAAGCAACGGATGGAAACTAATCAAGGAGAGAACTAACCTAGAACTACTGAAAAATTTCCTGACAGTTAGAACAATTAATCAATGAAATGATTTACCTCCAGAAGTTGTGGGTACTCCAACACTGGAGCTTTTTAAGAAAAGATTGGACAACCATTTGTCTGAAATAATAATTAATAATAATAATAATAATAATAATAATAATAATAATAATAATAATAATAATAATAATAATAATAATAATAATAATAATAATAATAATAATAATAATAATAATAAAGTTGGAAGGGACCTTGGAGGTCATCTAGTCCAACCCCCTGCTCAGGCAGGAAACCCTATACCATTTTAGACAAATGGCCGTCCAGTTTCTTCTTAAAAACTTCCAGTGTTGGTGCATTCACCGCTTCTGGAGGCAGGTTGTTCCACTGGTTAATTGTTCTCACTGTCAGGAAGTTTCTCCTTAGTTCTAGGTTGCTTCTCTCTTTGGTTAGCTTCCACCCGTTGCTTCTTGTCCTGCCTTCAGGCGCTTTGGAAAATAGCTTGACTCCCTCTTCTTTGTGGCAGGCCCTGAGATATTGGAACACTGCTATCATGTCCCCCCTCATCCTTCTCTTTGTTAAACTAGACATGCCCAATTCCAGCAACCGTTCCTTATATGTTTTAGCCTCCAGTCCCCTAATCATCTTTGTTGCTCTTCTCTGTAC